ATGTCAAATATCTAAGCTGTAGTTTTCTCCAATTCAGAAAACATTTGTTTTAGTTTCTATCTTTACTATTTTTACATAATAAAAATCAATGCCCCCGGGCAGGGCCAATTTTGACACCAGGGGCAAAATTTGAACAACTTTGATAGAGGACCTATATAAACATCAAAGCTCTAAGCCTTGTACCTTCAGACAAGAAGATTTTTTAATTTTTTACTATATGTACAAAGTGAAAATCAATGACCCCGGGGAGGGGCCAATTTTGACCCCAAAGCTATAATTTGAACACTCCTGCTATAGGTTTACTACACAATGTTTCATGCAAAATATCTAACCTCTAGCTTTTGTCAATTTAGAGAAGATGATTTTTTAAAGTTTTTACTATATACATACATGTATAAGGAAAACCTATGACCCACGGGGAGGGGCTATTTTGACACTAGAGGCAAAATTTGAACAACTTTGGTAGAGTACCTATAGATGATATCATATACCAATATCAAAGCTCTTAGCCTTATATCTTCAGACAATAAGATTTTTTAATTTTTTACTATATGTACATATTGAAAATCAATGACCCCAGGGCTATAATTTGATCAATCTTGGTAGATGTTCACTACACAATGTTTCATGCAAAATATCTAACCTCTAGCCTTTGTCAGTTTCGAGAAGATGATTTTTTAAGTTTTTACTATATACATAAAAGGAAAACCTATGACCACCCGGGGCAGGGCTAAATTTTAAGCTGGAGGCAAAATTTGAACAACTTTGGTAGAGTACCTATAGATGATATCACATACCAAATATCAAAGCTCTAAGCCTTGTACCTTCAAACAAGAAGTTTTTTAAATTTTTTACTATATGTACATAGTGACTGAAAATCAATGACCCCAAGGGCAGGGCCAATTTTGACTCCAGGGCTATAACTTGAACAATCTTGGTAGTAGTCTACCAGACAATGCCTTATGCAAAATATCTATACTCTAGGCCTTGTGGGTCTTTACAAGAAGATTTTTAAATTTATTCTTATAATTCCTTTTGGTTGCCATGGCAACCAGATTTCTGCATGGAATGAAATTTTTTGAACAACTTTGGAAGCCCTTCACCCAAGGATCAATCCTGCCAAGTTTGGTTGGAATTGGACGAGTGGTTTTCCACAAGAAGATTTTTTAAGTTCACTATATAATCTATATAACACACAAACATACACACATACATACATACAAACAAGAGATTTTTTAAGTTTTTCTTTAGACTTATAATGAAAATCAATGACCCCCCGGGGCAGGACCAATTTTGAACCCAGGGCTTTTGTTTTAATATTAACTTGGTAGAAACTCACTAGAAGATGTATCATGCCAAATAATTTAAGCTCTAGCTCTTTGTTTTTTTTAAAGAAGATATTTCAAGTTTTTTTCTTTCAGTTGCCATGGAAACCAGAGTTCTACACGGAATTAAATTCTTTTAACAATTTTTAAAGGTGACCACCAAAGTAACATTCCTGTGCAATTTGTACAAAATTAGCTTAGCGGTTTATGAGATGTTGTTTAAAGTAAAAGTTTACGGACATACGACGGACGGGCGAAAGAATAGGGATAAAAGGGCCATTTCTATTGTTATTTTCTTTCGTTTAATAGAGGGCCATGGCCCCTAATTCTATTGTTACTTTGTGACAGATGAGCTCAAAATAACAAAGTTATAACCACTAATAGCAAAAAAACCCAGAAAAAGAGCAAAATTTAGACATTTAACCATGGAGGTCAAGGTTATTTATGAATTAAGGTTAGTCTGGTCTACTTTAAGGTATTGTCCTAAGGGTTGTTGTGGCCAATAAAACTTAAAAATTTATGATCAAGGTTAAAGTTTGCTGATGGCAACGAAACTGTAACAATACCTCTTGCAACCAAAATCTTAACTGACCCGAGTTTGGATGTAACATACTTATATGCAAAATATAAATTGTCACAGAAATTTAAGTTATGCTGCAGAAACAAATTGTCTACGGGAACGAGGAACAGACATGCTCCAAACTAAGGTAAGGGGCCATTTCTTTTAATCTTTTCTTTTGTTAATAGAGGGCCATTGTTACAGAATGAACTCTATTGTTCTCTTTTGTTCTGTTTATAGATGTTTTATAGATGTCCCCCTTATCTATTTCCAGTAGATGGATGGTGGGACAATGCCATAAAGTATAATAAGCTATAAATGCCATTATACATCCAGACGGTCTTTGGGAGTAAAAATAAAATACATAGAACTTTATTTAAAGTCGAGGTTAAAGGGACTGGGGCCCGTCTTATCAACGGTCATACCACTGTTTTAATCGTACGATTTTCGTACATCGATCGTACAATTTTGGCGGTGTCTTATCAAACGTCGCAGATTTCCTTAATCTTACGCATTTTTTCTACGATCGCTAAGTAGCAGTCGCAGATCAAACAAAATGGCTGCCTTACTTCTTGTGAATCGACAACGCCGAAGGAAAAGCCGGACTTTTAGGCAGCGAATTGGTGCATTTGGATTGCCTGAGTGATCAGGAAGTTGTGGCCCGCTATCGGCTTGATAAAGCTGCCATTTACGAGCTTGAAAGTATTTGCCGACATTTGTGAAAAAGTGCTTTGCCACCGCATCCACAGGTAAACGTTGCGTGGCCATGACTTACACTATACCCCCGTTCCCCCTCTACAACCCAAAACCCTAAAAAAAAATTATGAAAAAAAATAATTTTTTTATGACTAAAATTTTATAAAGGTATTTTACTCTACTTTCATTTTGCATAGAAATATCACTAGCATCTCAATTATCAGCGCATATATTCATCAATTTTTCACCAATCTTAATAATCTTGGTCTCAAATCTTAGATAAATAAATACTCTTTAAGAAAACAACACTGGCACCTTCGCTGATTATACGTAGCAAGAAATATCCAAGCCCAAACTGTCAACAAATGAAACTCGGAAGAGATCTGATTGCACCGTTTCGGTAAAACTCTCACGAGTAAAACACACTAAATTCACCGTGAAAGAATATTTCTTTGTATTGCGTATTTAAATATGATAAAATTAAGTTATTATTTATAATAATTGTTCAATCAAAGCATCTAATGAAACTATAACGCACCTTTTTTCCTATATGTCAAATTCTCATTCCAAAATGAAAGTAAAATGGGCCTGCAGATTGTTTTCAAATGGAGTATTTTCATTGGTCACAGGAAAACCTCGGACCAATGAAATTACTTAAAGGGAAACAACTCTGCTGTGCCAATTTACTTTCATTTTGGATTGAGAATTTGACATATAGGAAAAAAGGTGCGTTATAGTTTCATATGATGCTTTGATTGAACAATTATTACAAATAATAACTTAATTTTATCATATTTAAATACGCAATACAAAGAAATATTCTTTCACGGTGAATTTAGTGTGTTTTACTCGTGAGAGTTTTACCGAAACGGTGCAATCAGATCTCTTCCGAGTTTCATTTGTTGACATTTTGGGCTTGGATATTTCTTGCTACGTATAATCAGCGAAGGTGCCAGTGTTGTTTTCTTAAAGAGTATTTATTTATCTAAGATTTGAGACCAAGATTGTTAAGATTGGTGAAAAATTGATGAATATATGCGCTGATAATTGAGATGCTAGTGATATTTCTATGCAAAATGAAAGTAGAGTAAAATACCTTTATAATATTTTAGTCATAAAATTTTTTTTTTCATAATTTTTTTAGGGTTTTGGGTTGTAGAGGGGGGACGGGGGTATAGTGTAAGTCATGGCCACGCAACGTTTACCTGTGACCGCATCAATATCACAGTAGCAGATTTCTTTATTGTTTATATAAAATTGCCATAATGCAGTAGTGTCTTGTGAATTTGGGGGTTCAGGTCATATTTCAGCACTGGGGTGGGGCCAATTTTGACCCCAGGGCTTTAATTAGAATCATCCTGGTAGAAGTCCATAACACAATGTTTCATGCCAAATATCTTACCTCTAGCCTTTGTCAATTCAAAGATTTTTCAAGTTTTACTATACATGCATATAAGGAAAATGTAGTGGGGACAATTTTGACACTAGGGGCAAAATTTGAACTACTTTGGTAGAAGACCTATAGATGATTTTATATACCAAATTTCTAAGCACAAGAAGACTTTTTTATCTTTTTGCCAATTTTGACCCCAGCGCTATAATTTAAACAATCTTGGTAGAGGTCCAATAGACAATGCCATATGCAGCCCTGTGGGTCTTTAGTAGAGGATCTTGTTAATTGGCAAGGGGCCAATCAAAAAATGAGCAAACTTGATAAAAGACTTCGGTTCTGGTGAGCTAAAAATGACCTAAAGTTGACATGTGTAAGTCCTACTGCTATTTTGATATTGTTATTAATGTATACAATTAACTAGAAATGTGTTGCCACGCCACGGATGCCCCCGCATGCAGCCAAAATTTCAAATGTTTTAATAATGATTTGTTTGCACAAACTATTTTTTTCATTGTAAGTTCAAAGCCCTTAAAACTATTCAATGTTAACACAAACTATTTTTATACAAAGTTAAAGGCACTGAAACTATTCTGTGTTAATCTTTTGTAAATTGCATATTGCATATTTGTAGCCTAGATAATGCCTACATACATTTCCACAATAGTATGAGTGCTGAAATTGAAAATTTCAAAAAAAATTCCAACATCCAAGAAAGACAACTTTGTCCAAAATCATTGAACCACAACTAAATTCAAACTTGACCTGCTTATTCCAAACATGTAGTATATGTCAAATTTGAGTTGAATGTGTACAACCATTGGGGAAATACTGAACGGAAACTAAAAAATTCTTACTTTTTTACAAAGTTCAAGAGGGATAACTCTGTCAGTAATCATCAAACCATCACCAAATTCGAAATTGACCAGTGTATTCTTATGACATATCCATATGTTATATTTGAGTTGAATATGTCAACTGGAAACTGAAAATTTCTTCTTTTTTTTTTTTCAAAGTGAAAGGGGCATAAATCCAAATAAAACCAATCTTCAAAATTTGACCTTACAGTATGACCTTGATCTTTGACCTAGCCACAAAGTTCTTGCGCATGACACACCATCTCATTATGGTGTAATATTTGTGTTTCGTTATTTGAAATTATGCCTACTAATGACAAAGTTACGCCCTGAACAAGCATAATCCGGACAAACTAACGAACAATGACATACACCGAAGCGCCATTTTGACAACTTTGTCAAGCTCTCTGCATGCAGGCTCGACAAAACCCTTCCTAAAAAAACAGAATTCGACTCCAAAAAAACACAATTGGCACAAAAGCCAAAACACAAATATGTTTTGACAATAAACTTATAGCTGGTACAATTATATTTTTAAATCAATCAATTGATTAAATTTTTCCTTCAGCATTTTACAAGGAATTTTGCTGACTTATTCCTTTGATTCAATTTAACTTGCTTATATTACTTGGCAGGCCCTTTAACTTCAATATGAAAAGAGATACAACAAACCTCAGATTCTCCCAATTCAAAATCCAGCTCTTTTTTCCTAGCAGATATCACAGTATCATCCATAGTGCTAGAATTATCAGATGTTTCTGAGGGGACACCTTCTTCTTCTACTTCATCATCATTATCAGAAGTCAAGCCAAGATTATCTTCAATTCTTGGCCTAGATGATGCACTCACTGACCTCTCCTTTAAAATGGTTATATTTTTTTTAAACATTGCTTTCATTTCCTCTAAATTACAAATACATTTATTCTCATGTAATTAAATTTACCATTTACAGGTGTAGTAATGTTGTCCTTGTATTCAAAAACACTATGTACACTGTTCCAGTAAGCTGAGAACTATTATGTAATAATATCATTTTTATGTAAAGTTTTCAACTCATTTGGCTTATGGTACAAAGCTTGTTATTTCTTATCTATAAAGAGAAAGAAATATCCAAACCTATACAATGTTGATTATAATATAAGGTATAATTCTCCTTCTTTCTATTTTTGTTTAGCTGGATGAACTGACAATAACATTTTACAAAATGCTTGCCACAAAAGTATGAAAATGTGTTCAAAATCAAAAAACTGTGCTCTGTTTTATACAAGGATAAAAGTATAACATGGTAAATTGTGGTTACATGCACCCATAATTTCATTATTTTAGCAAAAACATAATTCTTGAAAATATAAGTCAAATGTTTCTTGACAAGTTAGCACTGTTGGAAATCTTGTATGGATGTGATTACATGCAAGGAGAAACAGTGCTATATATATATATATTCCAGCACACTGATAACAGACAAACAGCATGTGTTTTCTAAAGTTTAACAATCTTTCATTTTTTGGGCAGACATTTTTATCAGAGATTAAACAATAATCATTCAATCAAAACTTTATTGCAATGAACTGACATGTATAACACTTCTACATTTCTGACTGACTTGCTTAAATAAAACAGTCTAGATTTTTAATGAAAAATAAAAAATGAAAATATCAAAGTTTTTTTCCCCATGTATTTACTCATATTGTCGAAAAGCAAATGCTGTTTAAAGAATCACTACAAATATAGCCATAAAATATGTGCAAAGAAATAAAGAAGATAGTAGCAGGTAAACACAATTTACCTCCCTGTCTGAAACTTCTGACTGTATATCAAGATCAACAGATCTTGTATCATCAAGTGGTTCAGTGTTTGGTGTCATTTCACGACTAGCATCATTTACATCTGGTTCCTCTCTCACTGACTATAATGAAAAATATTTTCAAGTGGGTTATGACAATACCTCCACCTTTTTTTCCTTCCAAAAGTGGAGCTAAACAGAAAAATTGTTTGTTTTGAGAGAATATGCTGTATATATCTCACATCATAGTGAAAAATATTCACATTTACTCTCATTTCTCAGTGTGATATATCAAATTCACAAAACAAAACAAATATCCTTTATGTATAAGCAATTGCCATTTGACCTTTCAGTTTTTGCTTTAATTTAACTTTATATTTTGTATCACTCTATACAATACTATATTCATCTTTTTATCACAATACTATATTCATCTTTTTATCACAATACAAACTAAAATTCTACTGATTTCAAAGAGCCAAACTAATGTTACATAAAATATTAAGTTTCTGTTTATTTTTGTTTTGACAAGAGTGTAAAACACGCTTGTCCCCTTGTTAGCATGTTGGAAGTTGCATGCAATATTGCTCGGAAACCAATTTGGCATGCAAGGTCAATGTGACCATTTGACATTTGAGCCCTTAATCCAAAAAGGAGTCATCTACTTTCAGAGACCAATGCACCTGAGAAGTTTGAGGGTCGAGGGTTGTCGAGTTATTGGTCGAACACTGTTTCGACATACAAGGTAAATAAGACCTTGATCTTTGAACCCTTGACCCCAAAATTAACTAGAACTATCACTAAATGTGATTAATACCCCCACAAGACTGCTTCTGAAATGAGGATGTTACTAGTAACAGAATACCTTGTAAAAGAATTGAAATATAGAGTTATGGTTGTGGGCAATTAAAGATAGTTGTGGTTCTTATATGTTGCATTTCCTTTCAATGTTGCATTTCCTTTCAATGTGGTTGGCCATTGATGAAGTTTAATTGAATTACTCTGTAATAAGTCCAGAAAGACAAAGTTTGTTTGTTTGTTTGTTTGGATTTTTAGAGTTATGGTTCTTGTGCACTGCACTTCCCCTTATTGTGTTTGACAATTGTATGAAGTTGTTTTGAATTCCAACCAGTAGTTTTCAAGTTATGCCCCAGACAAGGAAAAGTAACAAAGGGCAATAACTCTGTAATTAGTCAAGATAGAGTTATGGTTCTTATGCACTGCACTTCCTCTCAATGTGCTTGACCATTGTATGTAGTTAAATTGAATTCCAACCATTAGTCTTCAAGTTATGGTCCGGACAAAAAATTCAATGGAAAAGTAACAAAGGGCAATAACTCTGTAATTACTTTAGATAGAGTTAAGGTTCTTGTGCACTGCACTTCCCCTTATTGTGTTTGACAATTGTCAAAGTTATTATGCAAAGTCTTATGCACTGCACTTCCTCTCAATGTGCTTGACAGTTGTATGTAGTTATATTGAATTCCAACCATTAGTCTTCAATATAACTTCATAATTAATTAAAGTTGTTTTGAATTCCAACAAGTTGTTTTCAAGTTATGCCCCGGACAAGGAAAAGTAACAAAGGGCAATAACTCTGCAATTAGTCAAGATAGAGTTATGGTTCTTATGCACTGCACTTCCTCTCAATGTGCTTGACCATTGTATGTAGTTATATTGAATTCAAACTATTAGTCTTCAAGTTATGGTCCGGACAAAAAAAAAAGCAATGGAAAAGCAACAAAGGGCAATAACTCTGTAATTACTTTAGATAGAGTTATGGTTCTTGTGCACTGCACTTCCCCTTATTGTGTTTGACAATTGTATGAAGTTGTTTTGAATTCCAACCAGTAGTTTTCAAGTTATGCCCCAGACAAGGAAAAGTAACAAAGGGCAATAACTCTGTAATTAGTCAAGATAGAGTTATGGTTCTGATGCACTGCACTTCTTTTTCAATGTGCTTGACCGTTGTATGTAGTTATATTGAATTCCAACCATTAGTCTTCAAGTTATGCTCCGGACAAGGAAAATGCAACGGACGTCTGGACCGACCGACCAACCGACCACTGGGTAGCTCCTATATACCCCCCCAAACTTCGTTTTTGGGGGAATAATAAGGGTCATTCATTGGGCAAGACCGTTGCACCTATGCAGTTTGACAGCCAAGGGTCCATGTGTTGACAAGTAAATGGTCGGAAACTGTTTTAAGTTAAACATAACATTGACTTCTGACCCCTTGATCCCAAAAGCAATAAACTGGCCAAGACCAATGCACCTATATGGTTTGAACGTCAAGGGCCAATAGGTTGTAAAGTTATTGGTAGGAAACTATTTGACATATAATGTCAAAGTGGCTCTGATCCCAAAATCTATAGGGTCATCTAAAGGCCAAGACCAATGCAGCTTTGAAGTTTCAGGGTAATGGGTTCATTCGTTCTCAAGGTTTGGGCAGAAACAATGTAGGATGGACAAACCAACATACATGCTGCAAAAAAATATTTCTATCTTTGAAGGAGGTCATAAATATACTTCAATTAAAAAATTGCTGCTTAAATAAATATCAGCGAATATAACATAGAACTGACACAGAAATATTTAAAAACTTACAAGCAATGTTTGTAAAAGGCCAGTATAACCTCTTTCTTGTTCTTTTAAATGGTCCATCAGTTTTTGTAAACGATCCATCTCATCTCTGTATCCAGGCTTAACAAATAAAACACCAAACATTGAACATAACAAGAGTAACATAGTGCTCAACAAACCAATCAAACCTCAGACAATATATGTTTACCATCCTACCTTACTTTTTATAATCATTATGTGAATCATCATATATACATATATATAAACACTACTTCAACATTATTCTGAATAACATGTTCTCCAATCATTTCCCTTCACAATCCTCAGAATTTTCCATGAACCATATACTTCTTTGATAGAAACATATGTATATCTGAGATTTCACTGTTATATAACAATGAACTGTTGTGATTACCCATAATTTGGTAAGATTCTGTAATACCTCCGCTTCTCTATCTCTCATGTTATACAGTAATTTACTTAATTGAAAGCATCTTTGCTGGTCAGACTTTAAACAAAAAGGAATGAAATGATTGTTATTTTCTCAGTTGTAATTGTTTACAACTTTTTCTTGTTTTATTTTAGTTCAAAATTTCAGTCATATATGGCTGGGACAGTAACAGTATGAATATTCTGTACAAGTACAGTAACAATATGAATATTCTGTACAAGTACAGTAACAATATGAATATTCTGTACAAATACTAACAGGGTTCTAGCTAGCCTATTATTGCATGCTGTGTGTGACATACTGTCAGTTATTGAGGTATAATTGTATCTTCCGGGGTTCTAGCTAGCCTATTATTGCATGCTGTGTGTGACATACTGTCAGTTATTGAGGTATAATTGTATCTTCCGGGGTTCTAGCTAGCCTATTATTGCATGCTGTGTGTGACATACTGTCAGTTATTGAGGTATAATTGCATCTTCCGGGGTTCTAGCTAGCCTATTATTGCATGCTGTGTGTGACATACTGTCAGTTATTGAGGTATAATTGTATCTTCCGGGGTTCTAGCTAGCCTATTATTGCATGCTGTGTGTGACATACTGTCAGTTATTGAGGTATAATTGCATCTTCCGGGTTCTAGCTAGCCTATTATTGCATGCTGTGTGTGACATACTGTCAGTTATTGAGGTATATTGTATCTTCCGGGGTTCTAGCTAGCCTATTATTGCATGCTGTGTGTGACATACTGTCAGTTATTGAGGTATAATTGTATCTTCCGGGGTTCTAGCTAGCCTATTATTGCATGCTGTGTGTGACATACTGTCAGTTATTGAGGTATAATTGCATCTTCTGTTGATTATCAAACAAACACACAATATAAGCCTTACCATTTATATCTATCCAAGCATGTAACATACTTTTACAATATACCTGTCAATCAGTGTCAATAATGGAAGATAAAACCAATGAAAAGCCATGATAGCAAAGTTATGATGTACTTTAGTCTTTATGATTGTTTTGGCATGTATAACCCCACTGTAAGTTAATTTTCAGTGTTTTCCTTTAATTTTGTTTGTGGCACAAGTAGTTGATGAGTGATGGATGATCAAGCAGCTTTTTTTCTCTTTCTTTTAACCGTAAGAAACAATGATTAGAAATGTATGAAAGTGACGATGATTTGATTACTTGCGGTAATTAATATCAAAAACTGAGAACAGAATTTTACAGTCAAAGACTGATGCTTCTTTGTTACAATAAAGTTGAAATAAATCAACAACAAAAAAATGACCTTAATTAGCAATTATTAAACTTGAAAAAAGTGAAACTAAAAGTCAAACTCCATTGCTGATTATTTCAGCCTCAACTGCAATAGATTTCTTTGACTATCAAACATTTCAATGAAAATATTTGCTGATATTAAGACACTTTTCATTTAAACTTTAAAGAATTTGATTTGCTTGCAATAAAACCAAAAAATTAATTGTTGATTGATGTAAATCACACTAAAAATGTTAACAAAAATAGACCAGGTGTCTGAAAAAGATCTGTTTTTGGATGTAACTTATTCTGACATTAATTTTAATCATTGAGAAAAATGTCATAAAAGAAAGAAAAGAAAATGCTTTAAACTAAATATTTTTCTTTGCCTTAACCTCTTATATTGACATAAACACTGCTTATTCATGTACAAGCAAATATAAGCAAAATATGAATAACAAGCTTGTTAACAAAGCTAATACCCTAGGCATAACAAGAGCCACTGCCGGGCGGGGCAAGGCGGAGCAAGGCTCCACTTTTTTTAACTTTTTCTAAAAGCAAACAAATAAAATGTTTAAACAAAATCTTTAGAAATTAAAAAAATAAAAAAAAGCTTTTCTTCAATAGCTAGGTCTAGACACACATGTTGTTTTGTCCAAGTATTTAACATTTTTCATAATGTTAAATGATGATTTTTACATTTGAAAGCTGAACATCAAAGGACAAGAAAGTAATTCCCTTCATCAAAATCTAGATCAGCTGATAACAAAGTTTAATTTTTATATCCAAAAAAAATTAACCAAAATTCAATAATTTGACCTTGATTGTCAATGTAAAGTCAGTCCAACCTTTTAGAAGGTCTTGTCTAAAAGTTTTTTTTTGTTCAAAGTATGAAGATAATACATTTTTACAGCAAAAGACCTTTAAGGCCAAGGTCATAAATGAGCCAAGGTCAATAAGAGTTTGATATACATGAAGGTTTTATTCTAAAGAATGTTGCATCTTAATATGAAGTCCATTCATAAATCCATTCATTAACAAAATAATTATAGCCAGCAAAACAAAAGAGATAAAATTTCAATAATTTGACCTTCAAGGTCAAGGTCATTTTTCAGTGAAGGTCAAGTTCTGTCTGGGTAACTTGAAGATTTATTCTCAAAGATTGTTATGTTCCAGTTTGAAGACAATCCATTCTATAACACTGTTATAGCCACTTATAGCAAAATCAAGCATTTTAACTTCAAGGTAAAGGTCATTTATGAATAAAAGTCAAATTTAGTCTGGTCTACATGAAGGCCTTGTTCAAAGGAATGTTGTGGCCAGATATGAAAACATTACAACAACTTAACAAGAACCATGTCAACATGGCCATCCCCCGCCGAATAAGTTTGCTCATTGGAAGAATGTATATGTAGAAGAGCAGAATAATTCAATTTTAAGAGGTCTTTTGGTAATGAAAACTGAGGGCTGAAGTGATTCTATGTGAATACTAATGGCTGAAAATAACAAAGGGCAATAACTGAAAAATAATGCAGGGTAGGTTATCATTCTTGTGTGCTGCACCCCTCCTCAGTAAAATCTATCCACCCATGAAGTTTCAAGTTGATACCTCAAATACTTTTTTAGATAAGCTCCTGACAAAATAGTATGAAAAAGAACAAAGGGCAATAACTCAAAAATTATATAGGGAAGAGTTATCATTCTTGCGCACAGCATTCCTCCTCAATAAGATCTATCCACCTATGACATTTCATTATGACATCTCAAACACTTTTTGAGTTCAGGTGAAAAGTTAAGTATGAAAAATAACTAAGGGCAATAACTCAAAAATTATGAAAGGTAGAGTTATCATTCCTGTGCACTGCACACCTCCTGAGTGAGATCTTTGCACCTATGAAGTTTCATGTTGATACATGTATCTCAAAGGCTTTTTGAGTTATGCTCTGGACAAAAATTAATTTTGAAATATAACAAAGGGCAATAACTCAAAAATTATGCAGGGTAGAGTTATCATTCTTGTGCACTGCACTCCTCCTAAATGAGGTCTATCCACTTATGAAGTTTCCAGTTGATTTCTCAAATACTTTTTGAGATATGCTCCGGAAAAAAATGTCGGACGGAAGGACGAACGGACAGACTATTTCTATATCCCCAACCGAAAGCGGCGGGTGATAAAAAGTTATGATCAAGGTTAAAGTTTGCTAATGGGAGATCTGCCATGACTGTCACAATACCTAGATTCATTTTCAAAAAAAAAAGTTGAGCTAAAAACTCACTATGGACACACAACTCAAAGAGGATGGTTACCCTTATTTTTTCCAATACTTTGTAGGGGTGTCATTGATTCAATCGATATCGGTGTATCAACGATCTTTGTTATCCGATTAGATATCGATTCCTTTTTTTAAATATCGGATATCGAATGCACATATATTTCTAGCTAAAGAGATTTCAGCGAACAGGTTTTATAGAACTAATAGACATGTTTACTGTCGAAAACGTCAATATAAAAACGACATATAGACATATAAAGTTATGGAAGCCAGAAATATTTTTTTTCTAAAATGAAAACGGAAATCAGTGCCAAAGTTACCTCCCAGTGTCTTTAACGAATGCTGCCTAATTTCGTTGTAATCTCGCACGTCTGCTAAGTGGCTGACAAGACCCCTCAATTCAGATTTTAAAAAGGGAAAATGCCAAGAAAAATTTGTCAGTGTTTCTTTGTAAAAATTATGATTACAAAATGTTAAACTTTAATAATTATTCAGGTTCTAAACACTATAATTTGCCAATTAAACCCGGCTTAATTGGAACGGCAAGGACGGGATTTAGCATGATCAGTAACTACGTAATAGCAACAACAACAACTAAAGTAAAATGGAAAAGGCTTTAAACTTTATAGTTACTAGTCATTAGTTTTCATTTATAGCTATATGATAAAAAAAGAAACAAATTGTTCAGTTTTCATAGTTTATCTTTTTTGCATTTGTCTAAATATAACTGCTTTGTCAGTGTCCTTAGGAAACATCTTAACAGACTTGAAAGCTAAAATTTAGCCTGGCAATCGATATATCGCTGTATTGCCGATAATTCATTACCGATATATTGATACAAAAATCCTTATCGATGACACCTCCAATACTTTGTTTTAATTAAGATTTACTTTAAACATGAAAATGTTAGGTTGTCTCTGCATAAGTTTTGATGTTCATTGTCTGCTTAAGTAAAAATTGCAGCACTCCCAGAATTGTCTTCAAAAACAATATCCCAAGATGTTCAGAGAAAAAATAAAGTGGTACATGTATGAAAATTCCACAGCAAGTTGACAGAAAATTTGATGTGAAGACCATAATAAAGAATTCAAATTAATGCCTGAAAGGGATCAATGAAAAAGTGGGGTTATAACCTGAACCAAGGTGTGATGCTGACTTGAAAGCAAATTGCCCTCACTATAGACAGTCAACTCCAAAGCTTTACATAAAGATGTTTAAAGACATACCGGATCACCAGATTTTCTAAGCGAATCCATCATGGAGCTTGCTTGTTTGATGTAGTCACGTATCTGCATCAGTCGCCCAACAATCTGACTACTGTCAGGCTGGAAAAAAACAAGAGGCCCATGGGCCTGAAAGGTCACCTGAGTAATCCATAGCAGATTAAATGTTTTCTTTTTTGCGCAAATAACTTTATTGACATTGATTAAAAACATCAAACATCACACAAATATTTTAATTTCAATAATATATTATGTATAATATTATATTGTGCAACTTATATTCTCTCCCTGGAGCTTTAACCCTAAAAACAAAGGGGTCATGCATTTCACATGTTAAGAACTAACTACTTGTTAACTAGAGCTATCGCTAAAGGTGATTAATACCCACTCCAGCAACCTTGACTTTTTGGAAATTAAAGTGGTCTGAAGCAAAATTTGAACTGTGTACAAATAATTCTTAACTAACGTTATGCTCCAAGAAACCATCTTTTTATTTTTAGTAACAGTGGCCCTTCATCCCAGGGGCTACAGAAACAAACCGAATCAGGGGTCTTCATATAAGCTTTTGATTGCAATATTTTATGCCTAACTGTATAGTCCAGAAAGCTATTTTTTTACTCTAAGTAACCTACACCCAAGGGGGTCCAAAAGCAAAAAAAACATGGGTCTTCATATAATCTTACTATATACAGAGTTTGATTACAATATCTCATTCTTAACTCTAGTTATTGTCTGAAAACCATTTTTCTATTTTTAATGACAGTGACCTTGACCTTGACCTCAGGGTTGACAGGTCCGAAATGCAATACCAAGCCACTCTGGTCTTCATATAAGCTTGCTAAATACCAAATATGATTACCGGTACAATATCTCATTCCTAAATCTAGTTAATTGTCAGGAAACAATTTCTCAATTTGTAGTAACAATAACCTTGAACTTTGACCCAGGGTGTCCAAATGCAATACCAACCTGGGTCTTCATATAAGCTTGCTATATTTCAAGTTTTGATCACATATAATGTCATTTGTAACTCTAGTTATTGTCTGGAATCCATTTTTCTATTTCAGTTAACAGAGACCTTGACCAAGTGATTTTTTTTACCTCTGCGTCCAATAACGCAATGAATTTGCTGCTGACGCAAAAGTTTCAAAAAAAATTAATGTGCATCTTTTTGGACGCATGCATTTTCTGAGTAGGAAGTCCTGTCTGGTAGGAATTTGGTATGTAATACCAAATTGTGTAAAAGTTATGTCAATCTTATGACAGTTAATGTTTTTTGTTCATATTTTGCCATTGTTTTACCGTTTTAAAAAGCTTACAGTTACATGTAACATTTTATTTGTGTAGCGCTTGTTTGGAAATGTCAACTTAAACAGCAATATATTCTAAGTAATTTTGACCAGCTTGATGACAATTTTCCAATATCCATCCGAAGTTTTTTAAACATTTAAATACTTTCTTGTTCGGAGATTTTCTTGTAAAATTTACTTTAAAACTATCAATTAGAACTTTATTGATAATAGCTCAGCCATTTCAGAGTTTGAAAACTCATGAGTCCCTGGTTTTGGGGACATCAAGAAGCATTACTCGATTAAAACTGCACTTAAAAAATTGGCAAATCAAATTTTAGATTTTTTTTAGAAGTTCAAAAATTTCGGTTTGAATATATCGTAAAGAGTCAACTTGGCCCTATACCAACTCGCACCGGGTTTGCAACTCTGCACAGGTCAATCGGGGGCCACTTTGAAAAAAAACTAGGAAAATGTGTCCATAGGACATGGGTGCCCCCACACTCCACTGATTTGTTCATCTTATGTCTCAGGTCAAATTTTTTTTTTGGCTACATCTGCCCAAGATGAAAACTAAAAATTTCTTGTTATTAAAGTACCGGTCAAATACTACAACATATTGAATAAATCCACAAGAGAACCCCAAGGTGCATAAGTACAACATGCTGAAGCAAACATTCTTGGAAATTTTCAGGCCTACAGTCATACACTTTTTGAGTTACGTGCAACACAAGTTTTAATATTGTAAATTTTTTACTAAGTCAAGGGCAATAACTCTAAAAAAATACTAAAAATCCACATGAAATACCCAGGTGCACAACTACACATGCTAAGCGAACATTCTTGTTAGGTTTTCATGGACTCCTGGGTCAAATACTTTTTGAGTTATGTGCGACACAAGTTTTGAAAATTGCAATTTTTACTAAGTCAAGGGCAATAACTCTAAAAATATCCACACGAAAATACCTAGGTGCACAACTACACATGCTGAGCAACATTCCTGTAAGGTTTCATGACTTTAAGTCAAATATTTTTTGAGTTACGTGTAACACAAGTTGAAAATTGGGGGAAATTTTTTTAAGCAAGGGCAATAACTCTAAAAATACTAAAATATTTGCCCTAAAAAATCCACATGAAAATATCCAGAAAGTGCACAACTACACATGCTGAGCAGAATTCTCGTAATTTTCTTGGACTCTAGTGTCAAATAATTTTTTAGTTACGGTGCGACACAAGTTGAAAATTGGAAATTTTTACTAGTCAAGGGCAATAACTCTTAAAAATATCCACACGAAAATACCTAGGTGCACAAACTACACATGCTGATTAACTTCTAGTTAGGTTTCATGATCAAGGTCAAATATCTTTTGAGTTACGTGCGACAAAAGTTGAAAATTGCAAATTTTTACTAAGTCAAGGGCAATAACTCTAAAATACTAAATATATCACACGAAAATACCCAGGTGCACACTTCACATGTGATTAACATTTAAGTAAGGTTTCATGACTCTAGGTCAAAATTACTTTTTGAGCTACGTGCGACATAAAAAAGGGAACGGACGGAAGGAATGACGGAAACAGGGTAACCACTATGCCCAATTATATGGCGGGGGCATAATAAAAATATGTTCTGTTCATTACAAATATGTTTTGTCCTGTTTATAAAAGTCCTTTGCAACTATTTTTTGTCATCATTGCTATGAAATGTGTCCATTAGGTAACAACAGCATAGTGTTAGAATTGGGCACCTGCTTTTGTATACATTTTGGGTCATAGACATTTTTTCAAATGTGTATTGATTATTGATCGAGAGAAAAATATCAATGATACATTAATATTGCCTATAACTATGACAGCTCTAATTTTTAGTAACATTGACCTTGACCCTATGGGGTCGAATCGCAATCCCAAGCAAGGCCTTTGCATAAGCTTTAAATATACCAAACTTGATTAAGATAAGTCAATCAGAACTTCAGTTTAATCGACAAGAAACCATCTTGTTTGACCTCTGAACACCAGCCCGCCCACCCGCCACAAACCCCATTACACAAATCTTATAACCAGTATTTTCAATTAAAACCTGGTTGATGAATTAAAAGATAAATTTTAAGCTCCGACAAGAATCAATAGAAACTTCAAGGATATAAAGAAAAGTTACTTTTCCTCCAGCTGCAGCCCGAGCTTCATTGTGATTCTGTTTGTTATTATTTCTATTATTTCTATCTTCTCGTTGATTTGGGACAGGTCTGGAAAGCTGTGTTTCCATGTTTCCACCTTTCCTGTCTGCCATAACTCGGCAAAATTTTCTCGCCTTCTTAAACAAATTTCTTTCATTGTTCCTTTCCCCGTCATTACTTACACCCTGTAAAGTAACAAACCTGTACTCACTAAATGTATTAACAAGAAAGTAATGTTTGACAAAAAGTTGTATTGAAAAAATTTGGAAAAAGAGACTTTTTCCATAAAGGTACACATGGTACATACGAGGTCACACCAGTAAGTTGATTCATTCTCATTTTTGCACACAATTTGTTCTTACTTCACCATGACTTACATACAGAACTGGTTTGGGTTATGTAGTGATATTTGTCTACTGAGAAAAATAGCAATATTTTACTTTTTCCCCAAATAGCAAATTGTATTTGAACCAGTAAAAATCCTGTGAATATATTTAATAATTATGCTAGTGTTTATTTTTTTTTACTTGTCATTTAAAAGCAATTCAATACATACCGGTATTGTGCATATAAAGTAACTAAATTTGATTTAAATAAATCATATCTACCAACAAGAGCACTGCTAGGCGGAGCATTATATGCCAGAAAGTACTTTAGCTGTAGGTTGATTAATGCTTGAGTTATTGAGCAAAAACTGTTACCTGTTTAAAGGTGATAGTAACCTTGATCTTTGACCTTGTGACCCCAAAATCAATAGGGGTCTTCTACCCAATATAGACAATCATCCTATGAAGTTTGAATACTGTGGGCCAAATGGAACTTAAGTAAAGCTCCGGAAACCATTTTCACTATTAAGCTAATAGTGACCTTGACCTTTGACCCTGTGACCACAAAATTAATAGGGGTCTTCTACCCAATATGGACAATCATCCTATGAAGTTTGAAAACTGTGAGTCAAATGGAACTTAAGTAATGCTCCGGAAATCATTTTCAGTATTAAGCTTATAGTAACCTTGACCTTTGACCTTGTGACCCAAAAATAAATAGGGGTCTTCGACCCAATATGGACAATCATCCTATGAAGTTTGAAAACTATGGGCCAAATGGAACTTTAGTTATGCTGCGGAAACCATTTTCAGTTTTACTGTAATAGTGACCTTGACCTTTGACCTTGTGACCCCAAAATCAATAGGGGTCTTCTACCCAATATGGACAATCATCCTATGAAGTTTGAAAACTGCGAGTTAAATGGAACTTAAGTTATGCTGCGGAAACCATTTTCAGTTTTACGGTAAGTGTGACCTTGACCTTTGACTCTGTGACCCCAAAATCAATAGGGGTCTTCTACCTAATATGGGCAATCATCCTATGAAGTTTGAATACTGTGGGCCAAATGGAACTTAAGTTATGCTCCGGAAACCAAATTGCTAACGGACGGACAGATGTACGGACGTCTGTACCAACTTTTGATGTTTATGAGGCAAATCAGCTCATAAACACCACCTAGACCAACGTCCATAAGCAAAATAAGCTCATAAAAACAAAAAAATAGCTCTTAATTTGAATTTTATGAGTTTTTGTTCTTTTTTTAACTACGGGGTTCTTCCGGGCATATAAAAAAGATAGAAAAATGCAATGTCAATTACAGATTTGCTCATTAAAAAAGCAGTTAGCTATCTTTTGTGAAGAATTCAGTACAACTGAATGGTTAATCAAAAGGTAGTTATATGAACCAGATTTGTTCCAACAGGAACCAGATTTGTTCTCTCAAAATATTAACCCTTTACCTCATATATACGCAAACCAACGCACTTTCGAACCCCCCCCCCCCCACCACCACCACCATCTCTTTTAGGCCTCAAATAGTGAACAAATGTACTGTTTGGGCCCCAAACACGTTTTCGTTTGAGAAATGTTGATAAAAAAAGTAACCATTTTTTCGGCGCGGCCCCCCAACCAAAAGATACATCAGGGTGTGCCAGAAGGGGGATGTGCCCCATTCTGTTTGGGGGGTTTGAAGGGGGGGCAACAGTTCCCCTCCTCGACAAGAAAATTTTGGACTTGTGAGAGGCTAAAAATGACCCCAGATCGATCATAAGGTAACCAACGCTGAAAAGCATTTGACTTTATCTCAATCCATTGAGAAGTAACTTGCAGCACTTTGAAATCAATTTTGATGGAAAAAATTGAAGCAAAATAGTGATTTTTTGGCAATTTTGAGATGTCCCCTCTTTGCCATGGTAACAGGAAATTTAAGCCTGAGCATGTTGTTACAAAGGCAATGGTCCAGTCAATATTTGTGCCAAGTTTGATAAGTTTTGAAGCAGTTTTTATAGTTTTATAGCAATTTGAACTTTGAACAAAATGCTCATGAAGTAATGGGTTAAAGGTGCCAGATTGTTATCCTTTTTTTAGAAATTTTGCACAAAGCTTTGAGTGTTTAAGTGGACAAATTTCTTACTGTATTAAATAAATCCCATACAAGAGCTATCACCCAAGTGACGAATGCAGGTATTATGGAAAAAAAAGAGAATGAAAGTGACTAATTGCTGAATATTGTTCTTTGTATAATTGTATCTGTAATCTCTAATTGTGATAGCATGAACCTTCAAAATATAAGTGTGACCTTGACCTTTGAAGAAGGGACCTGGTTCCTGGACACCACAAAATGTTGTTATGAGATAGACATTTATGCCAAATTATTTCAAAATCCCTCAATGCATGACAAAGTTGCAGTCTGGACATGATTTTTGTGTAAATGGGGAAAGATGGACATGAGCCTTAGCCGCGACATTGTCTTGATGTGTTAGACATTTGTGCCAAGTTATTTTAAAATCTTTCCATGCATGACAAAGTTTTCAATCCGGACATGAATGTGTATCTTCAAACTGTTGACAAAAGAATGAGAACCTTCAAACTATAAATGTCACCTTGACCTTGAAGGTAGGAACATGGGTCTTTGTTGGGACATATCGTCTTGATGTTGTAGACATTTATGCCTAGTTATTTTAAAATCCTTCGATGCATGACAAAGTTACAGTCTGGACACGTATGTGTGTACCTATTACTCTAATAGCCATAATGAGAAACTTCAAAATGATATGGTGAACTTGACCTTTGAGGTAGGGACGTGGTTCTTGGATGTGACACATTGTCCTAATCCCTAAATGTATGACAAAGTTACAGTCCGGACACGGTTGTGTGTACCTATTTACTCTAATTGCGATAATGTGAAACTTCAAAATGATAGTGTGACCTTGACCTTTGATGTAGGGATGTGGTTCTTGGACGCAACACATTGTCTTAATCCCTTAATGTATGACAAAGTTACAGTCCGGACATGAATGAAGTGGGACAGATGGACAGACGGTGCGTTTATATTATGCCTCCCTTCGGGGGCATAAAGAAGACACTTATTACAAGTATGCTAGAATGATCTGAAAAGCTGAAATTGTCTATTAATTGATTAGTATATATCAAGAGCATGTCCAAGCTGTTATGAACCCTAATCTCTGAATCAGTAATCAAAGGCCTGTATGTGTTACATAGCAGTATCAAATAACTTGATAACTAAATATACTTTATACCAATTAAATTTGTAGCTAAATTGGCAAAATTTTTGTTAATAACAAATATCAACTGGAATATTATTCTATAATATAATATAATTTATACATATCAATTTTTCTGTTGACACAAGTATGATAAAAGTAAAATATTAGCAATTTCCCTTATTTGGATGTTATGTTTTAGAAATACTCTCAAAGCGAGCTAATCTGATTGTCCTGTGTCAGTCATCAGACACAAAATTTAATAATGTTAACTAATTGTGAGCAGAAAGTGGAACAAATTCACTCATGTTTTGACCTCAGCTGTACAGTGTGGTAATAGTCTTTTATGGTAAAAGTATAAAAATTTAAAGACATCTGTCTGCTCAGATAAATCATATCTTTAAACACTTAACCTGCTGAATTTCTTATTGGACTTACCTGTCTTACATTTTGGTAACTATCCAAGTATCTGACCGAGAACAAGTTTAACATGTATATTTCTTAATTCATAAAGTAACTTCATGTATTATGAAGAAATTATATGAAGACCATTCTTCAATCAATTGAGACTACCACTTACTATAAAATGGCAATATATAGATAAACGAAATGTCTTGCTATTGAGTTACATTATCTCTATGCATATCGACAAAAGAAGACAGAAAACTGACAAAAAATTAGTACCAGTACTGGTATGGGACCACCAAAACCGGACAACCACCAAACCTGGACCAACACGAAAATGCTTAATTTAGTACATGTATTTTCTTTGTTTAGTGGTTATCAGTGACTTTTTTTATCAACAATAAATGCATGTTTATTCTATAATTTAGTAAATGAATTTATTTCAACCTCCGTAAATGATAATATTTTAATGTCTATTTCAAGAATGTTGACGTTGAAATTTGGGTGTCAAGAAAGCCATGCCTGACCTCATATACCAGCTTTAATCATTTGCAGAACGAATAATAAAATATCCAAAACTTCAGCATTTGTTGCTGAAATATTGTATACCATGTTAAAATTCAAAAATTAAAACACACAAGCTTTTATCTGAATTTAATCATGCCATGTACATATCTGTCCGGACACATGGTACTGTAGTGTAGACAATTTAGGTAATTTTGATACCCTCCTTGACGAGCCTCAGAAATAAGTGTCAATACAATCAGAAATAAACATATTAGTTTGTTAGTTAGGAGAAGAACCTAGCTGTACTGTGTCAAATTTTCAGGTCTCTAGGATTGAAATTATGAAATATTTATGGAAAAATGTTTAAAAAGTGTCCGGTTGATGGTCCCCGACCAGTAACACTGTTAAAATTTCTACAAACTTATATTGCTTCTAGTAAAAGGAAAATTTGGAACAATACAAAACAAGAGGGCCATGAAGGCCCTGGGTCGCTACCCTGACCCATCAATCGCATCCAAGCAATGTCTTAGACAAGCATTCTGGCCAAGTTTGATGACAATTGAGTCAAAAATGTGACCTATATTGTGTTAAAAAGGTTTTCCATATTTGGGCAATGTCACCTAATTTTT